CATTTCAGAATTTCAGCCAACATTTCATGAGATAGGTCACGCACTGTATATTTTATAGAAAACATGCACACAAATATGCTTTATTTTGCTCTTTTGGTAGAAAATCACGTTGTCGTGCTATTGTATACCCGATAGATATGTATATTTGGGTTTTAAAAAGTTTTTGATTATGAGATTTTTAAGACCGTGCGATGTCCATGCAAACAGGACCGCGCATGTCCGTTTACCAATGCTCCTAATAATATTCACAACACAGTCCGGATCCACTGCGAAATTTTAGGTACTCTGTGTGGTACCTCCTCAAAGGCATAGAGGAATATATGGTTTTCCTTACGCGGAAAGCATACACCTTGTAGACTGAAATCGTTAAACGCTAATGCAATGGTACACCAGACACAAAATTATTCGGGAATTGCACAACTCTTTAAAAACCCAAGTATACACTTACTTTTGGTATAAAATATCAGGAAAATGTGATTTTCTACCATAAGCGTAGAGGAAAACATATTTTTGTGCATGTTTTCTATGAAATATATTTAAATTTACAAGAACATCAAAACTCAATAGTAAAACTTCATGCTAATTAAGTAATCATTTTTTACAAAGTGCGGTTTCTTCAGAAGGTCAAAAAGGAGTGCATCCAAAAGCCGACATTTTGATGAGTCCAGAATGCTATAGGATTATACTGTGTACTAATCACACTTTTGTACCTATTTGACACTTTGAACCGCAATGGGACAGGAAATCTGAGTGCAAAGCTAGGGTCGTTCATAAGGCAATCTTCAAGACTCATACCCTATGTTCTTTTCCGATGCGCCGCTTATGGTGCAGTTCGTGGTTCCGCACGTGCGTACCACGTGTAGACATGGATTCGCATTCGTTCGCCATCACACCCCTATCCGTTGTTGGCTGTTCTTAATTTATCGAAGCATGCAGAACGTTATTTTGGCGTGGAAAGAGGAATTGAGATGAATGTTAGGAAGGCATTCTCCCAGTTATTGAAATTCACGTTCATGACTGAATATGCGTCGACAGTGCGTGTATTAGAGGCGATGGCGATAGGTAGTTCTGGCACTGGTTCGCCAGTCTGCGTATGACACATTCAGAAGTGACCGACCAAGCCGATGCTTGATGTGAAGGAGTGATCGCAATGAGGCTAGGTTGGGATCGAATCCTCATTGCTCGTAGTGAGAGCGGGGATGATGGAGGTAGAGTTTGGTGAGTGTTTTCACGGGTGGTGGAAGTACGCGATGTAGTAGTCGTCGCCGTCGTCGTAGTCGTCTCAGATGTTGTGACAGGGTAGGCCCCGCAAACGGGCCAAGTGGTAGATGCGCTGGACCAACACGGAAGCCATGTCGGATTCTGGCATGCATTATCGGATTTGCGCAGCATAACAAATGCCAACATTTCGGAGTGCGGTGGCAGACCCGGTTGCCGGCAGACGTCGCGCACACTGAGACCCCTGCCGTCCCTGATTGTTGTTGTTGGTCAAAAACCTAGTCATTTGCTGGGTGGATCAGGGGTTGTGGAGTGGACCGCCAAGATGCGGGCTCGACCATGTCATCCATCTGCCCCCCCCTCGCGTTCGGTCTTTTTGACACTTTCTTGACACCGGATCCAGGTGGGGGAGGAGGAGGGAGTACGCTGTATGTTGTGCAAGTCTACTATCACTATAAACTAACTCACGAACAAATTACTGTACTTGCTCCACCATGCTGTGGAGCACACGGTGGTGGAGGTGATCATCGTCATGCACGTCGCGGGCAGAGGTGACGAAGGCAGCATCTAGGGTTTATTGAATGATGTTGCATCAGATCCGGAGATGTCTGTGAAGTCAATCCATGCTCGGAATGTTCGTTGATAGTTAGGGCATTTTCGAGGAGTTGAAAGTTATCGCTGTGGGTAGGAGGCGTTTGAGGTCTTCGAACCGCTCTTTTGGCATTGACAGCGGCGATCCCGTTAACTTCGTAGATTGCTGACCCAGTCTTTACTTCTCTTCTCCTGACCGGATGATATTGCAAAAAGTCCTCTCGGGTCTCGAAATTGATTTATGGAGTCCTGAGAGAAGTTTTCAGGGTTTTCTCCTGTCGCTGTTGTTGTCCTCCATGTTGACGAGCACCCTTAGCGAAGTCACCATAGAGTAGCCACTTGCGTAGACGTTCATCATCCATATTCGCGACGTGGTTTCGCCATCGTTATTGGATCTACCACGACACGGTGAACATGTTACAGTTTCTGGTTTATTTTAAAACTTTTGTGTCGAGGACTTTATCTTGCCAGCTCAGACAGCTGAGGTGGAATTGATTTATTTTTCTTTCTCCTTCGGCGAATACCGTCCATGTCTTTCTTCCGTAGAGCAGGGCCGACTGAACTACCTCCCAGTATATCTTGTGTTTCATGTTGAATTAAAGTCCGTGGTGATTCCGAATTAGTGGCTACGCCTTGTTGACGATCTGACCGGCTTTGGGGATCCAGTGGACCACTTCGTCTTCAACTCTCACATTCCTTTAAATTGTACTTTCTAGGTACGCCAATTTGTCCACTGCTACGAGTTGGCTTCAGTTGCAATCGACATGTAGCTTATTTGTAGGGCTTGATGCGTGGCTGCAGTCTACTCCGTGTTAATGCTCAGTCCGAAGTTAGAGCAACCGGAGGCAAAGGGACCAACAATCGCAGTTGTTATATTTACGCTCTGTCATCCAATAACACCCGGTTGTGGGCACTGGTCCTGGGTTGAATACTGAGCAATGTTCCGTCGACTTCCCGGCCGCTCTTTACAATATGTAATCAGCACAATGGTGAAGGTAGGGGACAAGTACGCAGACCTTAGGAATGGCACCATTGTGGACTTATGCATTCAGCAGACTCCCAATCGTTCACTATCAAACACTTAGGCTGTTGTATAAACGTTTTCTTCTTCCCACCAACCGCCGCAAAGGGCTTCTCTTGAGTCCCTGAAGACCTGAACATGACTCCGCTACCTGCAAGGGGAACCTCCTCACTGAGATCACTTCTGCTGATCACGAACTGTACTATGTTCGTTGGCATTGGCAAATAACCTGAGAGTTGCATTTCGTTTCCTGCTTTGTTGGAAGTACAGTTAGTGACCTAACTCATGAAATGTGTTGAAATTTACGAATGATTGTCAATCACTCGCAAAACGGCACCATTTCATGAGACCAATGTATATGGTGATTAAGTACAAGTTTAAAAGAATTAAAAACATATAAGATATATTAAAGGCGGTGTTGAATTGCTTAAAGATGCCGATTTATTTTGAAAAAAAGCAATATCTCGAGAACATCAGAAATGGCTCTAATTTAGTAAGCTTCGTTTTTAAATGTGTAGAATGTGGTTTCATACCAAAAAACCTAATAAATATGAAAGTAGAAATAAAATAACGTCTAGTAGTAATGTTTCAGTGCAGTTGATATCTAAATGTCGTCAAATAATTAGTGTGTTTTCATAGATAACGGTTTGACAACTGCCCACATTAGGAATGTAGATTCTAAAACGGTTTGTTAGGGTTTAATGTTATCCTCGACTCTTTTGAATTAAATGAGATGGAGTTCAACAAGAAAACCTGGTTTCTTCTCGAGTTCACCGATGGGGACATCGCAGGAACAACAGTTTTCAAATGATGACATGCTTTGAGGCCAGTCGGTGCCTAATAAATCTAAATAGAACTGACAGACGTGATCGCAAACATACCATTTTGTGTTTATATAGAGAACTTTTCCTCCGTTAAACTAATTTACACTTTTCGTTCGTTTTGGATTACGTTGAGTTTCAGATCGGCCTCGAAATATTGTTGACCACTTCATGATTTTTAGTGTTTTCATCCGATCTTCCATAAAGACAGATTCTGAATTACCCGTCTGTTGAGAACTTTAAAATAAGTTTATCCCTAAAGGCATCTACCGCATTAGTGAGTGTTCGGGCGCTCCTTTTCACGAAGATGGTCGTTTGGGTCACATGTGAAGACTCATTCAAAAATCAAACTTCATTTTCGTGAAAAATGTCTGTTCACAAAGAAAGCCAGCAAAAAATATGCCTTTGATCAGTAAAACAGCTTTCCTTAATAAAGTATCTCTTTAAGGAGTGCTTTATTACTGCACTCCGTTGACGGATCTATGTGTACTTTGCATTTTTGCACGGTGAGACCAAGTACAAATTTGACACTTTTGGCCATTTCTTTCACGTTCAAAAACAATACTAATATTTTCTATTGTAAACATAAGAAAATGCTTTTCTCTATACATTGAGGCCATTTTCACTGTTTGTGCTCGCTTTTAGACTCCGTTTTTCGATTATGAATGCGCGGCAGAGCGCTTATATAAATAGTGATATTTTGTTGAAACTGTTTAGGTTTTGCTCGTTCCATTTCTGAACAAGGTATGTACAGGAGCAAAATTTTACGACAAGTAGTGTTTCATTTGTTCAAAACTGGAAATGACCATGCGGTGGTGGTCAATTATGTGACATCACACTCTATCGAGCCTAACCTAAGTCTCTAAGGGGTCATGAGACTTCGCATTACGCAATACACTCTAATCAAACCGACTGAAGGCACCACTACGGCCTTTTGGGGTAATTGTGTAGCCAGGCATGTGTAGAAGACAACTTCTAAATACGTTTATCATGCTGCGCAGAGATACTCACTAAGGCCGAATTAACCTGTTATACCTCATCATTTAAACTCGAAATCCTCTCATTTGACCCAAAATCTGAACGATGCATGGATCTTGCCTCTGTTTTTTTTAAAATCTTTTTAGGCATCCTACCCCACACAACGGACGTACATTTACACATCCTGTCTCAAGCCAGCAAATTCTAACCAGAAATCTGGTTAGCGCCCATTCGACGGTGCTGAGACTCGTGTCATTGACACAGAGCAATTAACGTCTACGATATCGTCTACCCCAAAACGGCCTTCGTCCTGCCCGAAGGCTAAAAAGTTATTTCAAGCACAAAATCAACTTTCGAAAACAATTTGTCCAATGAATAACAACGTTCAAGTGTCAGAGGTCAGTGCGATATACCAAAAAGTACTTTTTAATTTACTTCGTGATAGCGTGGGGTTCCAAATACTGTCTTCAAAATGTAGCCTTCAGAACCGAAGTGGAATTTTTCTTCGCACCATGCGACTCATTTCAGGCAGTCGAAAGTAATGGTCTAAGAAGGCCTACTTATTTTTGTAAACAGATTAGCTCACCAGGAGCTAAAATTTGTTTTTTTTCAAGCAATATTAAAAACTTATTGAGATAATTGCAACAAAAGCATGCGGAACCGACAGAATACACCGCAAGCATGTTGTGGACGGTCGTATAATTCACTTTAAGTCGAAATTTGCAGCATAGATAAACAGTAAAAAAACAAACAAGTGCCTATAACTTCTGGTCATCTGTGAGGGAACTCCCTCTACCCGTCCTAAGCTGTGGTGCTCGCGAGGCGTTAATATGACTCGATCCAGTTTAGCAAATTCGTTTGAATGGCTTCTGACTGTTTGACCTCCCAGAGAACCTTCTGGAGACTGACTCGAACGATTAAAAAATCAGATAAAAAGACCACTGTCTTCTTCTGAAAGTCGTCTTTGTTTCGGGTCCAATTTAGAAATTTTCAACTGGCCAAAGTATCATTTTTCAGAATGGTACTACTTTCAGTGCCTCCCAACATGAAAGAACACATTTGGAAACGGTCAGTTAGACATGAGTATCTAAATCTACAGCTATCGCTTTTGTCTTACTCGTTGGCAATGACCAGATATGTGTGTCCATTACGAAAATGAAGCACAGGGATTCCTGTTATATGTAATGAAGTCAGTAGACGGCAGTTTGACGCGGCACTCGACGGAATGTGCGGAAGTCACTCAGAAAAATCACCTTGCTGGGGGGGACGCTACCGAACGTTCTTAGAAAATCGCTCGTCCCGTTGTGCTTTACGGGCACTCCCTCGAGCCCATCCAGCAGCCACACAACGACGAACGATATAGGCAGAATGGTATAACAGACAAAGACAAGGGAGACTGGAATAGCCATTTCCGGTTTATTGGCCGTCGTCGGCCGGCAACACCCAACCCCGAAATGTGGAACACCTGGGGCTCGATCCCGCGACTTGTTAATCAGATGTGCAACGCCTCTAGCCACTTTTCCACGGACCGTTGTCCTCTACCATTGTATATTCCCGATAACAACTGACAGGACAACGGGCCCGTGCTGCAGTGGTCAGAGGCGTTAGACTTCTAACTTACAGGTTGCGGGATCGAGCCCCAGTTGTTCCACAATTCGAGATTTCGTTATGACTAGCTGACGACGGCTACTAAGCCAGTTTCCCTTGTCTTTGTTGGTAATAACAAAACTTCCATTTTTTGCAATATGTGTGGTCATTTACTTCCGCGAGGGGTGGAAACAGACCGCGTAATTTGAAAGATGCGAATGAAGGGCCCGTAAACAGGTGGCAAACGGCTAATCCGAGGTAACTTGTTAATGTTGGTTGAATTTGGTAAGACAGTACGCAACAGGCTTTCTCAACCCTACGCTTAATCGTCATCCTTAGCTTTGCCCAAACCTTCAAAATATACTTGGGTCCAAATGCAACCTCACCCAAACATAGCATGTCTACCTAAATAAAATAAGTAGGCATGTTTTCGAGTCAAAATTATAGACTTATGTGTCCATCAATCACCAACTCGTTCGGTACCAAAGATTTATGCTGCTGTAAAAACGTTTTCCTTCCTACAGCTTACCACCCAGGCACTCGAAACAAGGATAAAAAAATTGGCTAGACTATCATCGGGACGAACTTTTCTTGAGTCCCTGAAGACCACTCTTTGCAATATGAGGGACGACTCCACTACTTGCAAGGAAAACTTCCTCACTGAGATCACCTCTGCTGATCACGAACTGTACTATGCGGCCTACTACTCTCTCGAACGAACCAAACTGACCGTCGCGGCAACCCATGCTGAGGAGCTCAGCAGGTTAAAGAAACTTCGAAGGGACTTGGCGAAGTTGAATCGAAGACGGGCTGACTTACTTCATGCGACAAACGATGAGGAAATGGTAATTTCCGAGGAGTCTTTGCACCTGAGTTCTACGATATTTGTTTTATCATACCGACATAACAGAGGCGGTAAAAGCCATGGCTCGCGCTTTAATTATACTGTTATGTTGGAGGCTTATGCACCATCAACCATAAACGTACCATCAAATCTCGTTGAGTGTGATTGGGGTTAGTGTGGGTGCGATGGCCTGTCTACGTTTCTACTGCCGTTTCATGCACATAACAACCTAAGATTCTTACCAAACACCCTGTATTGCCTTACGATTGTATTGCAGAGGCCTACTCTAGCGACCGCTTCTCCATTTTCAGAACGCTGCTGCCTTGAAGGAAGCGGAACTGTCTGCAAAAAAACTGCTTGAATGCGTCAAAAAGTTGCAACAGACGGCGGTACTCTGTGAAGATTCTAGCTTTGATAAATTAAAATTAGCTCCAAACTTTGCATCGGTACGTTTATCAGACCTGGAAATACTTTTATTCGGAGTCGATATGGTTGGCATATTTGTAATATTTTGCTGGTATCTCCACCTAATTGCGCATACTATTTCTTGGTTAACACTTAATATTCGTGCGCGTTCTTTTTGTAAGATAACTGTCTATCAATCCATTTGTAAATGTCCCTGACCCCCAACACTTACCCCTAACATTAGCCCCTAACTTTAACCTCTTACAAGTGCGGGTACGAAATAAGATCTTAATAGTTGGGGGTAAGGAAAGGAGGTTAGGGGTTAGGCTCGGCTTGTCTACTGCAGGTATGGCTAGAAATAGGATCCGAAAAAAGTGACATCTGTTTGTTATGTCATGTTGAGGCTATAGACGAATGTATCCACTAAAGTCAAGTTTGGTCCAAAAGCCTTTGGACTAATTTTTAATATTTAAGAAAACCCAAAAATCACGAAAACCTAGCATAATCAAATTATTGTCTTCGCATACTTTTCCTGACGGAACCTAAAGACAGAATAACGCATGCAAGTGGGAAATCATTCTAGCAGTATAATTTAATGAGAAAGAGTAAGGGGGACTGGAATTGTCATTTCTGACTTTTTAACTGTTGTCAGCTAGCCACACTCAACTTCGGGGTATGCAACCCTCTAGTCTCGAACTCGAGACCGATACGTTAGAAGTCCACCGCCCAAACCACTAAGTCACGGGGTCGTTGTCCTGCCGATTTTTACTCGATTATGGTAGATGGGCGCTCAAGGTTTGTTATCGGAAGTAGTCAAGCTGGCGTGCGCACAGAATGGGATCGTGCAATATTCCAACCCCAACTAGTGGGGGTCACACGCCCACTAGACATCTCTAACGATTCCAACAGACTGATTTTAGTCCGAAATGTACGCATAAGTAGCAGTTCTGTGTTCGTCTCCATGAACGGGCTCATCTACGGGGGGGAGGGGGAAGGAGGGAAGTCGTAGACATTCGGCAGATCCTTTCTTACCTCTGGTAAAATGAATTGGCCACTTATTGCAAGCATAGGTGGTAGTCCTCGTGTAAGCATTTATGCCACCCATCCGCGACAGCCGGCGCACAAAGAGCACCATTCAATGAACAAATACTAACCTGTGCTTGATCACACACTCTCGATAAGCCAGCTACAGGTGGTCCTGGAAGTCCAAAAGTTAACCAAAGTGAACCCCGCAGGCTGATAAACTTATACTAGATGGGCTAACTCATGAAATGTCGACCGAAATTTCGAAATGCATTTTCGTTTCGAGAAGACTGCTTACAGTATGTGGGCTAACTCACGCAATGCAACAGAACTTTCGAAATGCGTTTTCGTTTCGAAAAGCTTAATTAAGTACGGTTGTAAAACCAATCATCATGCAGCATAATTCTATAATAATTCAGCTACCCCAAAACGCCGGCTTTAGAATCAAACTTCTTTTTGGCTGCATCCGAAAAACCATACTCCGTAAAAAGTGTCTACTTGTGCAGCATGTATTTTTTTCATCGATTCTCGATGCCCTTAAGCACTCAATTATATTCCATGAAAAACATGCATAAAAACATTTATGATTTTGCTCATTCAGTTGACTATTATTTCTTATTTCAATTTTAAACTCGAACGTAGGGTATAATTCGGTTTTCAATTTCCTAATTGTGGGACTTTTAGATTCCCTGAAACGGCCGTTCATAAATCGTCATGTCTCTGCATGTACCAATGTGGCTTTTAAAGTTAACAAGGTGGCTCAAGGCCACCTCTCAATGTTATGAACTTTATATAGTCCCCACTTTATTCCCGCTTTCGGTACGCGGAAATTATACGGTTTGTAGTTTAGAAACCCTGAATGCAAGTTTCAGTACAGGCTGGGTTTAAAATTATTCGGGAATTGTAAAAGTCTTATAAAAACCAAATTATACCCTTCTTTTGAGTGTAAATATGAAAGAAGACGTAATTTGCTCCCTATGAGCAAACAAATGAATATTTTATGCATGTTTTCCATGAAATATATTTAAGGGCATCGAAAATCGATGAAACAACTCATACTACATAAGTGGTCGTCTTTTACAGAGCACGTTTTTTAGATGCAGCCAAAGAGAAGTTTGTTGAAAATCCGGAGTCCTGAGATAACTGCATTATTATAGAATTATGATGCACGATGATTGGTTTTGCAACCCTACTGAATAATTCTTTCCGAAACGGAAAAGCATTTCGGAATTTCTGTTGAGATTTCATGAGTAAGCCCATTTACTGTAAGTAGGGTTATAAAACTAGTCACCGTGAAGCATACTTTAGTAACCGCAGAATGCTGGCTTTCGAACGAACCCTTTTTCCGGCTGCATGCAAAAATTATACTCTACAAAAAATGACATGCATTTTTCTCATTGATTTTCGATGTCCTTAAAAATTCAATTATGCTACGTTGAAACACATGGATAATGGTATTTATTTTCTTCCGCTTATTCGGAAGAGAAGTACGTCTTTTCCCAATTTTATATCCGAAGGTAGGGTATAGGTCGGATTTAAAAAGTTTCTAATTGTGAGATTTTTAATGCCGTGAAATTGCCGTTCATAAAACTCTATATCTCAATATGTACCAATGTGACTTGTAGAGTCAACAATATCTACTGCTAACTTTTATGAATACCATATGGTGTCCTCCTAATACCATAGAGAAGTGTATAGTTTTCCTTACGCGGAAAATATGTGGCTTGTAATTCGGAAACCATGAATGCATCTGTAAAGGCAGGTCGGGGCTTAAAACTATTTGGGAATTGGAAAAATCTTTGAAAACCGAATTATGCACTTCCTTCGAGTATGAAATTGGTAGAAGACGTAATTTTCTATCAAATATGCAAGAGAATGAATATCGTTATGCATGGTTTTCTATGAAATATAATTGGATTTTTAAGGGCATCTAGAATCGATGAAAATGTCATTCTACAAAGTTTTCATTTTTTTCATAATTTGGTTATTGCATGTGACGGAAAAGCGGTTCATTCGAAAGATGGGATCGCGAGGTCACTGAATTATTGTAAAATTATGCTGCACGATGATTAGTTTTACAACTGCACTTAAGTAATCAATTCGAAACGAAAGCGCATTTCGAAATTTTTGTGGACATTTCATGGGGTAGCCCACCTACTGTACGTTGGATCGAAAGGTAAACATAAAAGCATTGGGGCATTCGGCAGACGACATTTATCAGTAGACAAGACAAATAAAACCGCGGAAAAACTTCATTAAATGGATCGTATCATTCCCTTCCAGGAATAATTATGAGGTGATTCAGCAATTTTTGGTGGAGAATTAATCTATTGACGTTTATGCTAATATTCATGTGATAAGGTTGCGTCGAATTCGGATGTTTGTGAGTCACCCTTGAAAGGCAGATATGTGTCAAATAGGAGAAAGTGAGTTTGAGCATGAAACGTCGACTGTGTTCGTACGTTATTTAAAAGACCGTTTTGCTTTTGTCTATGCAAAGATCCAGAAGACCAGTTAGCGAACATAAGTTTGCTTTCGATAAATTCTTATCAGGCCAGTACATTTATATGGACACAAGATAGAAGAGAAAAACATGTCAGGTGTTAGAGAAATCGATCAAAGTTCGTAGTAAACCACAGGCGGAGTGAATGAATATGGGAGGTAGGTTTCCATAGTCAATGTCAGGGGCGGGAGGAGATCGAAAGCGCGCGGAGAGTTACATGGTCTATCTGCTTTTGGCCACGGTAGGTGCGGAGTCTGAACGTGGTTATTCTGCGTGCATAAGATCGGTTCTCGTAACCCGATGGCTGTCGCTTCTGCTTTGTTAACGGCTGCTAGGCCGGTGGCCTAGGATAGCTCGACGGGACCTTATAATAGAAGCGAAAAGCCTCGCTGGTGTCCATGCGATGTCCGGAATCAACACCATGCGCGAGAAAAGCGCTGTTCCTACTCCTAGTTTGACCATTTCCCAGCCATGCTGGGATGTGGTCTCGTATTGTTTTGGGTCGCGCCGATAATACGACAAGTAGTGTGGTCTTACACTCGTGGGCGTTGTTTAAATTTCCTTTTGCACTTATTCAGCAGAATGAAGTTGAAGATGTAGTAGAGCATAGTTCGGTGAAAATGTCGTTGGATAAGGTGACATCTGATTATTTTGTATCGTAAAGGCTATAGACGAATGTATTCACCAAAGGAGGGGTGTGAAGATATGGGAGGAAGGGTGGGGGGTGATGGCAATCAGTGCCAGGGACGGGGCGAGAACGAAAGGGCGCGGAGAGTTGCATGATTAGTGGACTTGACCACGGTGGGAGCGGAGCCTGAACGTGGCGCTATTATGGGCTCGCCGCTCGGACCCCTCCTAGTCGATTTCTTCATGGCAAGTTTGAGAAATTCTGATTAAGCGATCAGATTATTTAGCTTAAATACTACGGTCGCAACGTTGAAGACATCTTTGCAATCATCAACACAGGAACCGACATACCTGCCGTCTTAAATGCGGTTAATCGGGCCATCCCCAACCCCGAGGTGTACAACGCCTGGGGTTCATTATTGTGACCTTATCATTGAACTACTGACTCGTTTTCCTGTCGGTTGCGATCAGGGATACAGTAGGTGGGCTAACTCATGAAATGCAAACCGAAATACCGAAATGCGTTTTTGGTTCGAAAAGATTAATTAGGTAGGGTTATAAAATTAAACGGCCTGCAACACAATTCTATAATAATTCAATTACCTCAGGATGCCGACATTCGAGTGCATTTCCTTCCGGCTGCATGCAAAAACTGCACTGTGTAAGAAATGACTGCTTAAGAAGCATAAATTTTTCTCATTGGTTTTCGATGCCCCTAAATGTCCAACTATATTTCATAGTAAAGATGCATAAAAATATTCAGTAGATAATGACGATTAATGAACGGCCATTTTACGGTATATAAAGGTCCCACAATTAGAAACTTTTTGAAACCAAATTATTTCTGAATTATCTACTGAATGAGCGAAAGAATGAATATTTTTATGCATATTTTCGATGAAATATAATTGGACATATAGGAGCATCAAAATCAAAGAGAGAAATGCATGCTACTTAAGTAGTCATTTTTACACGGTGTAGGTTTTGCATGCAGCCGGAAAAAAGTTCATTCGAACGCCGGCATCCTGAGGTGACTGAAATAATATAGAATTCTGTTACAGACTGACATGTTTTACAAACCTACTTAATTTATCTTTTCGGTACGAAAACGCATTTCGGAATTTCGGTTGACAGTTCATGAGTTAGCCCACTTACTGTATTTACTACGGTAGAGTGGCGCACATCGATCGCGTTACAGAAATCACTCATTCCACTATGCCTCAGGGCTCCCTCTCGATCTCGCCAGAAGCCGCGCGTAATGTAGACTCGTGAACGAACCCCAAGGCACAGCGGGACGAGTGATTTCCGTAACGTGCTTGGTGCGCGCCTGTCAAAAGTAGTGTGGTTGACAAGACAAAGATTCCCAATCAAAAGTCAGGGAAGACGGAGTGAGTTGGACAAACTTTACTGATTTGGAAGTGCGTACACAAAGGCTCTGTAGGCCGTCGCTGCGAGCGCGCTCTCCAGGCAAGTTGTTGTTGTCTGTGTCCGCCTTCGAGGTGCCGAGACCCAGCGCATGTGTGCATTTTGCTGTCTCCGCGTCCGCAAGCCAATCAGAGGGGGGCAACGTTTATTGGCCTGGAGCACTTGCGAGGCTTGTGACAAGCCTCGCGTGTCCTAGCAGCGTATCGACAAGGAGTGTGAGGCGGACAAAAAGACAGCGTGACAAAGTCGGAGGGTAAGGAGACGCGAACTGCTGCACGCCCCGATACTAGTGGCAAGTCGTCTTGTTGAAACGTCTTATATTTGTTTTTCTTTTCTGATGGAAAATAGATTCAGCTGCATTTCAAGGACTTATCGCTGGTGACCTCTGACTCGGGGAACGTGCGGAAACAACTGGCACGACTTCCAATAGAAGCTCAGACTAGTAAACCAATAAAGCAAGGGTAAGTGTTAAATACTCTAATGACTCAGCCGAATTTTGTTTCGCTGACCAAGCGGATCATATGTTTATTTTATTAGTAGCTGGTAGTATGTAATAGTCAACAAATGTCTAATACAGTGCGTGACCTATCTCATGAAATGCTGGCTGAAATTTTGAAATGCGTTTTCGATTAGGAGGGATTACTTGGTCGCGGTTGTGATATTGATTATCTAAAGGCATACTCTTATAACATTTTGGACTCGGCAGGATGTCGGCTTTTAAATGCACTTCTTTATAATCTCCTGCAGAAAGCGTGCTCGGTAAAAAATGACTACTTAAATATCCTGCATTTTTCCCATTGATTTTCGATGGTCTTGGAAATTCAAATATATTTTATAGAAACCAGAAACAAAAATGTGCTTTCTTTCAGTCAATCAATAGAGAATCACGTCTTCTTTATATTCTATACTTAAGGAAGGAGTATAATTAGCTTTTAAAAAAGTTTCTAATTATGAGACTTTTTAAGACCGCGATATGTCCATTCACAAAGCATCATACCTGACCGTTTACCACTGCTCCTCATGAAATGTACAACATGGGCTGCATCCATTGCAAAATTCTATGGACCCTGTATAATATCTCTTTAATGACATACAAAAATATGGGATTTTCTTTACGCGGAACGCATGCACCTTGTAGAGGGTAATCACTAAGCGTTAATGTAACGAATGATCAGGCTCCACATTTTTCAGCAATTAGAAAACTTTTTTAAAACCTAATTATACTCCTTCCTTAAGTATAAAATATAAAGAAGACGTGATTATCTATTGATTGACTGAAAGAAAGCACATTTTTGTTTCTGGTTTCTATAAAAAATATTTGAATTTCCAAGACCATCGAAAATCAATGGGAAGAATGCATGCTATTTAAGTAGTCATTTTTTACAGAGCACGCTTTCTACACGAGATTGAAAAGGAGTGCATTTAAAAGCCGACATCCTGCCGAGTCCAAATGTTATAAGAGTATGCCTTAAGATAATCAATATCACAACCGCGACCAAGTAATCTCTCCTAATCGAAAACGCATTTCAAAATGTCAGCCAACATTTCATGAGATAGGTCACACACTGTAGCTCAAAATTGAAAGTCTGTTTATGTGTCCTTTATTTCGCGTACTAAGTTCTTTCCAAACCCTTAAGAACTTCTAAGTTGTGTCGATTACTCTTTTACTTTCGATAAAAGCGTGCGAAATATTCTAGGAGTCTGTTTCAGAGCAGTTTTTTCCATGGGGCGAACATCTAACAGGTTCACAAATCTAAGTCCTTGGTTTTGGCATTTGAGGTTGCAGTTCTATTCAGTTTATGATCCATACAACAGCTTATTTGGATTTTTGTTGTAAAAGTCATCTTTTACGCCTGAAACTCGATCAGATTATGTTTGTATTCACAAATAATCGGCTCGGTTGACGCGGTGGACAAACAACTAATACTTCTTTCATTTAAGACGGTATTATGGTGAACATTCAGTAGGCACCAACGCCGGTTAAACGCCGCCTAGTGCCATAAAATGTGTTTTAGGAAAGAAAGCTCACTTCAATGAGTTGTCGTTTTGATGACCAAGAAGTCTGGTTTGTGCAATTTAAGAAAACACACCCGTCCGAGGCTTTTCACAGGATAAACCTGAGGAGTTAGTCGTTTGAAGAGAAAGTTTATTGGCCCGAGACTGGGGCCTGGGGGTCATCGTTAAAACAGTCGGTTTCAAAAGTTAGCAAAGACTTCCGCTAGCGTTGCACGAGTTTGAACAAATATCGCTCATCTAATGCCCGCAGTAAGCCTATTTACGAATGCAAGGTTGGGCATTCCGGGTGTGTTGGGTTTTAGACTTCCTGCGCGGCTACTTTGTAGACTGCCTCATTGACACTGGCAGCTTTAAGATTTACATGAACAACGTTTTTTCTTCTTTTTAGCCGCTTGCTTAGAAAGCTTCCACTATCCTCACAAAATGACTGCTTTCTACAAAAAATATACAAGAATGGATATGAGCCGACGATGTTTTACCGCTCCTCATTCATAAACGATTTGTCTTAACCGTACATAGATTAACCTATTTTATTGGCAATATACTAATTCTTATCCCCTTTGTTTGCCTAAATTAAAATCTAAAGGCCATATATACATTGCGTTAGCGCCGTTTCGAAGTACATACAATCTGACGTAATTTCTTTATCGAATTCACTAACGATTGTCAGTGATGCCGATAGTTATATTTTGTGGCTAATATGTTGCATTTTCAATCCTTTCGTGGTATTTGTTTCGGGCAAACATATCTATTCACGGGAAATAGAAAACGTTTTTGCCGAAAATTTTGGAAGATAATTTCAAAAGGAGGATTTTTTCTCCCCTTTTCTCTATTTTTGATTTTGTACAATTTGGCGTTTCTAATTTGATAACAGTGACTGTGCCTGCATGTGTTTCTTACCTTGAGCGCACCAACTATGAATTTACTTTTCCTGTCCAATTTGGCCTGTAGCGAGGCTTAGGGATAACACGTTTGTTCGTCTAATTGTGCGAATCCATTTTTCTGCTTTTTTTCTCTTGTTTAGATATGCCGAAGCAAATTGGGATCTGAATCCAAACGAAATCTTCGTTAAGCTTCTGCCCGAGGCTACAGCGCCATGTGACGTGCATGAGTACTTCTCTAAATTCGGTCCAATCACAGGAATCCTAGTGCCAAGGCACAAGCTGGGACCAGATTCCATCCTCTGTGGATTCGTCACTTTCCTTGAAACGGAGTCTGTGAGAAAGGTGCTTGAGACCCAACCTCACCAACTAGGCGGGAATCAAATCGTTGTTTGCATGGCAAGAAAAAATCTTTCGTGCCGGAAAGGGTGAGATTCCGATTTTCAGACAATAGCTTCTATCTCAGGCATAGAATTGTGTAACGATCGGGCAGTAGAGTTCCATACATGTCTCTCAATACAAACAGCAAAAATGCGTCTTAGCAGAAGCGTTTCTTGATAAGCAGGATTGGCTAACAGGCCAATCCTCTGTATCGACCATGCGTGTTCGATTACCCCGGTTCGAGTTAGGATGTAAAAGATGTTTACATAACTTGCCTGTAAGGCTGAAATGACAACATAAAAGAAATCGTCTGAACAGTACAATGCACTGATTTTGGTAGCCGAATTAAAGAACTCATATCGACCCGCGTGCACGAACACCAGACAGCCTAATGGAACGCCACAATTTACCGGGGGATGCTATGCCAAACTGAACGCATTTCACTAAAGAAAACCCACATTTTCGCGCCTGTCCAATGAAGAATGACCTCGAGATTCTGAAAGCAATGCCATCAGACGAAACATTTATTAACAGATATATCGGTTTAGATATCACCGACAATATTTTCTCAGGGTCGATTAAAGTCTGGCACAACTAAAACCGAACCGGGAACTGAAAAAGGGGAATGTCTGTTGGCATAGACGACCACGAACCACAAAGTCTCTCGTTAGTTTCTATTTAATGCAAACTGTTTTGTGTATATTTTCCACTTGTTTGACGATGCGTCGGGGTACACTTTCGTAAACTTGCTTAATGAAGGTCATTTAGTTTCTAAGGGACTTTGGCCAATTTTAACTGGGATCCTCGAGATGTCAATTTCTGAAATGTTATTTTTGGGAAAAACAAAACCTTTAACGAGCAACTTGTCGAGACCGGCCCTTTAGCTTGTCAGTAGCGCATGATACAGGCAGAATGGTATTACCGACAAGGACAAGGCAGACTGGAATGGCCATTTCTGGCTTATTGGCCGTCGTCAACCAGTCATAACCAAACACCGAAGTGTGGAACACCTGGGGCTCGATCTTGCGACCTGTTAGTTAGAAGTTCAACGCCTCTAACAACTGAGCCACGGGCCCGTTTTCCTGTCGGTCGCGATCGGGAATATACAGTGGTAGAGGGGCGCACACCGGTCGTTTTTACGGAGCTCAATGTGTCTTACGGGCTCCCTCTCTCTCTCTAGAGCCCAACCGACATCCACACAATAATTGTGCCATCTTCTGAAATTTTGCCTGAAATTTTGGAGTATGTTTTTATTCAAAAAGTTTTCTTAGGCAAAGTTGTTACACTACTGGTATTTTAAGCGTCGTCAACCGGTCATGTTTGATCTTAGAGTGTGGAACACCTGGAGCTTGACGCCGTTACCCGTTAGTTAGAAGTTCAACCCCTCTAACGACTGAGACACAGATTCATTGTTCTGTCGGCTGCGATCGGAAATATATGGTGGTAGAGGGGCGCTCACCGGCCATTTTTACGGAACTCACTCCTTCCGTTGTGCCTTACGGGCTCTCTCGAGCCCAACTCGCAGCCGCACATCAACGTATGATATAGGTAGAATGGCAGTCTCGCTTTTACGGAACACATTCGTCCCGTTGTGCCTTATGGACTCTATCTCCCTCCCAAGCCCAACCAACAGCCGCAAAATAAATGTGCTACCTCAAAGGTGTTTTGGCAGATTGCAAATGATTTACTTTGACGTTACTGTGAAAAACCCCTAGCAGGTACGGCCACGAAATGAGATCTTGCTGATTTCGGATCCTGAAAACTAAAAGCTACCCCCTTTTCTGGCGGAAAAATCGATGTTGACACACCTAACTGCCAGCTAAGTACGGGCGAAAACATTTTCGTGTATATATTTTTTACATAATACATCTAAATTTACAAAAGCATCAACAATGAATCAGGAGAATTCATACTTCTTAGGCGGCTGTCTTTGATGGATTGCATTTTTCGCACACGGAAGAAAGAAAACTTATTCAAATGTCGACTTCCTGGCATGACTGAAATATCTAAGGATGTGCTGCACGATGGCTAACCTTAAAACCTGGTTAAAGTAAGCTTTTCGAAATGAAACAAGTAGTTTAGGATTGAGGTCGACGGCTCATGGGATCTCATATTTGTTCCAATCAATTATTTTTCGTTTTCACCATTAAAATGAGCTCGTATGGCTTGAACTGCCGAGTGGGATTTCGTAAGATATTTCTCTTTGTTGCCGTCAAATTTCCAGTCGATGTCTCATTGCCTGGTCAATGGGGCTCATTCCCAGGTCTGTATAATTTCTCATCTGTCTCCTATTAGTTACAACGTCCGGTGAGTAGTGCGTATAATATTATGACTATTCTACTGCAATTATTTTTTATATTTTTATTGGCAATGTACACTGAAGACTGGGGTAAGGGATAAGCGACAGAAACCACAATCGAGTTTCATGTTAGGCCTCGCTGGAACAAAATTTTACCATCAAATTAATGTTATTTTACCTCACAGGTCGTCGGTTTTCCACGTCTCGGATTCCGACGAAGAGGACGATGATTCATCTCACAGTGAGGACGACAAGTCGGTCGTGGACGCCTCCCCCGACCAGTTAACCATACGTGTCAAGGGTGCACAATCAGCGGTCACTGAATCCGAACTCACAGCCTACTTCTCCCAATTTGGCAGCATCGAAGAGGTCAGGGTAGTACGCGATTTACTTACCGGCGAGTCCCTTGGCTTCGGTTTTGTCACATTTGCTGACGATAAGGCTTTCAAACGAGGTGTTCTTAAGGCCTGCCATTTCCTTGGACGTAGTCGCCTCCTCGTTAGGCTTTCTGTGGACAGTGCTCGATCTCGCGGTTCCAGTGCATTAGGGGCGATCAAGTAGGTTTTTCAGCCTGAAACGTATACGCATGTTTGTTTTCGTTAAAATTTGCTGCTCATGCGGAGAATTATCATGTGTTTAGGTTGTTCTCATCAAATATATGCACCAAAATCTACCAAAACACGCTTTAAACAGCCGATTAGGAATTACTCAACCGCCAAGCACGCGGATTTCTACAATGAATTCGCAAGCACATGCAGTATGTGACCTGCAGTAGGTGGGCTTACTCATGAAATGTCAACCGAACATCCAAATGCGTTCTCGTTTCGAAAAGATTAATTAAGTAGGGTTGTAAAACTTATAATCCTGCAGCATAATTCCATAATTATCCAGTTACCTCAAGGTGCCGGCTTTCGAACGAACGTATTTGCGACTGCATGCAAAAACCATACTCTGCAAAATATGACTACTTGTGTAGCATGCAGTTGATTGATTTTCGATGCCCTTGAAAATTCAATTATACTTCATAGAAAAAATGCATAAAAATATTCTTTATTTTACTTATTCGGGAGCAAAGCAGGTCTTCTTTCGATTTTCTACTCGAAAGTGGAGTATAATTCGGTTTAAGAAACCATACTAGTTCTCGAATATTTTGAACTCGACCTGCTATTTATCTTGCATTCAAGATTTTAAAACTGCAAGCCGTATATTTTCTGCGTATGGAAAACTACGCATTCCTCTACGGTGTTAAAAGGAAACTGTAAAGGGTTCGCAAAATTAAGCATTGGATTTTAGCAATATTGTTTACATTTCAAGCCACGTTCGTAAATGCAGATACATGACGTTTTATGAACGGCCATTTCACGGTATTAAAAATTCTCACAATAAGAAACCTTTTTAAAACCGAATTATACACTTCTTTTAAGTATAAGCTTGGAAGATGATAGGATTTTTACCGAATAAGTAAAAGAGTGAATATTTTTTGCATGTTTTCTATGAAATATAATTGAGTTTTGGAGGTCATCGGAAATCAAGGAGAAAATTAAATGCTACATAAGTAGTCATTTTTTGAAGAGAATAGTTCTTGAATGCAGTCGAAATACGTTCGTTCGACAGTTTACACCCTGAGATAACTTGATAATTATAGAAATGTGCTGTATGACGATTAGGTTTACAGCCCTACTTCATTATTCCTTCCGAAACGAGAACGCATTTCGAAATTTCGGTTGACGTTTCATGAACTAGCCTACCTACTGTTTCTTATAAAAATTGTCGAAATCTGCTAAAGGTCGCTAATCAGTTGCAAACCAGCAAAGAAAAGTTGGCTAACATTTTGGTATAATAGTAAACGACTTTAAGTGAATTGAAAGCTTAATAACGTGTTTTTAAATAGCAACTTTTTGAAACGCAGGAAATTCAGCAAGTGTAGGTAACTGCTGCAATTAAGTAAGCGAAAGTCTTCGGTGTACAGAAAGTCTGCCCGTGTGCAAACGGACTAAATAAAATGGTACGAGCGAAAAAATTTTTGAAAATAGCCCTTTCATGAAGCTTGCACTCATAAATCCGTCAACGGTAGGGCGTAGGACCCCAACAATCTTGAGCTGGCCTCTGGACCGTGTCATACGTTTCACGGGTGGGGCAACATCTAGAACAATGCGTAAGGAGACACAGCAAAATAAAGCTCTGCCGAGAGTCATACCGTACACTGTCATTTGGCAACAAATTGAGGGCGATAATTAAAAATTAGGCAAAAAGCGATTTCTAAACAATAACAGGCCCCGAAAAAACCGCCGCCGTTAAGCTTACTTTAAGTCAGGAAGGCAAGGAAATTTTAGCCAGTGGGATCTGTGAATAATATATGGTGTGGTAGAGGGGCGCTCACCGATCGTTCTTACGGAATTCATTCGTTCCGTTGTGCCTTACGGGCTCTCTCTCGTGCCCAACCGACCGCCGCACAGAGGTGCATGGTATAGGCAAAATGTTATTACCGGCAAAGAAAAGGGAGGTCGTTCCACACTTCGGAGATTTGAGTATGACTGGCTGACGAGAGTTAATAAGCCGGAAATGCCCATTTCACTCCCCCTTTTCTTTTTCCATAATAACATTCTGTTTATAATCGCACTGAATTTTTTTGCATGTTTTGGAATTGCAGGTACGTCATCTACCGCAACACGATATGATTCGTGAGTCATTTTGAAGTCATTTATGGCGGCTAGTCAACAACCTACAATTGGAGTATCGATTTCAACAGGGTTTAATAAAAATCGGCTTCATTTTTTGTTTTTACACTGTTTGCAATGCAATCGAGTAAAATAAACACTTTTTTGTCTGATTTCGACGACTGGGGTGTCACAGGAATAAATTCTGTCAAAAGGCTCTATGTTTAATGGCCACTCGGTTAACAATAAATAAAAGTAAATGTGTCAGGTGTAGTCGTTACCATGCCACTTTGCATATATAAAGGGAACGTTTGCTCCATTATAATTTTTTATAGTCATTTCTGATGCTGAAGCTCAGGGATTTCTAGATCATGTCGGAAATAGCGGTATATACTGTATGATTTGCGGTGTTGCCTACCGATCGCCCATAAATGTAGATTACATTCCGTAGGTTTATTAGAAACATCAAATAACCTGCTTGCTTACACTTTGCTCATTCTGGTTTTCATGGTGAAAAATCAATTTTAAAGTGTGAAACGATCCGTCTGGTAAAACTCCCGAGTTTTATTACCCTCTTTTAATAAAAAAAACATGCCGGAACGCGCTGATGTAATCTAGGATAGCTATTAGCATATGAAATCGCCGGAATACAAGGCAACGCAGATTTCCGCTCACATAAGTGAGTATTTTTAACCAATGAAATCTTTTATATACGTATAAGGCACGTAAAAAGGTTATTTTCCGGAAAGGGCCAAGTGTAGAGGAAAAATGTGCGGCATTTTGGTTGCGAAAAATCGATAGCCTCGATTTCCGCCATCATGTAAACGGGGGATTGAGGAGGCTCCAGTGAGACGCCTTTAGAACACATACTGATAAATTGGAGGATGTCGTTTTTTAAGGGTATTTGAATCGCCCCCCTCTCATAGTTCGATCGGGATGATAGACGCATGACTTCTATTCAAAAACTGAGCTGTGGAGCATTCTTCTAGCCCCATGCGGGCTTACGACTGAAAATTGCCTTATGGCAAGTAGTATCGTTGGCCATAAGGAGAAAGCGGATGTCTGCTTTTCACTTATTAATGGGCCTCAAATCGTGGTACCTTAAGCCGAGCTGTTGATGCACCTGAGATCTGAGACTGGACCTAATGTATCAGTGAGCTCCCAGTATCACTTCGAAAATCATTGCGTTTTCCGCATGTTCCTTCTGGGCTGCCCAAACGGAAAATATTACTTCTCCTAAGTAATCTGTAGGTGTTTGCATCTATGAGTGCGTTTTTAAACGCAGCCTTCTATTGACAGTTTTATGCATTATATACTAAAGTTGATCTATTCATTATCAGGTGGGCGGAAGTCCAATAAACACTTCGAATACAATACTTTTGGGATTCGCAGAAATATTAACTGAGATTCAAATTCCATGAAGGCGATCTCCCTATAAAACTTCTACCTAAGTTTATTTCTTTTATGGCCATAAGTTGAAGATAATTTAATTTTCTTGGATTGCATTGGGCGGTCTTTTAAAGCACCTTATTAATATTAGTTCAGTTGTGGGATAACAGCAAACGGTTATAAGATTGACCAATTGTTTTACTATACAGTAAACGTGCTAAGACAGCTCTGAATTTGTTTGCTTTCCACATAGGCCTGAAAAATCATTGGATTGGGACTTGGATCCTAAAAGGCTGTTTGTCGGCGATCTGCTCGGAGCAACAGAGGAATGCGATTTGTATGAATATTTTTCCAAGTTTGGCATTGTCACTGAGGCCACTGTTCTTAAGAACACGAGGAGATCTGATGGCCGTTGCTGTGGTTTCGTCGCCTTCCGTGATACAGACGCCGCGAAGAGGGTGTTGGAGAGTCAGCCGCACGTGTTACATGAGACTGAAATCACCGTTTCGCTGGCATGGAGTAATAAATCAGCTGATACTGGGTAAGCATTGAGGTAAAAGAAACACGCGATTGTTGAAATCCCCCAGATTTATCCGCAAAGAACGCATCTTAAAACGAAAGTATTCTTCAAGACTTTCTCATGCAGCCGGGAGCTGCTGCCTTCTCTCAACTAATGCCCTCCCAGAGCAGTTAGCAGTGGTGGGATTTTTTGGCGCGGTTTTAAGTAGTTCTTGCTGGTATCTTCCAGAAACGAGCTATTGTCGTTCCAGCAATGGCAGCAACTGTGTTTTCGACACCCGATGCTGCCTGGCTACAACTTGAACAATTTACTTATGAGATCGACAAGGCAGTAAGTCTGTTGCTCAAGTAATTGACTGAGCTCGTGCAACTTCCACCGAAATTCTAAGTATTGTTCTTGATTAGGAGGGACTACTGAAGTTGTATTGTAATACTAGTCATCTTGCGGCATAATGCTGAGATATTTTAGATACATCAGATGTTGTCTCTTTATGCAATTCTTTCTAGCCGTCCTTAAGGATTACATCTAGTAAAAAAATGGCCACTAAACCGGGTGGCAACTTTCCAAATGATTTTAAAAATCCCCATAAATATCAATATATTTTATAAAAAACGCGCATAAAAAATATTCTTTCCTGCGCTCAACGGATAGAAAATCACATCATAAATTTTATGCTCAAAGACGGCGTTTATGGTAATTTTAAAGCAAATATTAATTATGAAATTTTCGAAGTCGTGTAATGTCCATTCAAATAACATCTTACCTGCCTGTCTGTCAATTCCCAAACTCAAAATTATTCCGGAATCAAAAAGCCCTTTGCAAAACGAAAGGAAACTCCCATTCTAAATATAAGGTGTGAAGATGTGATTTAACGTCCAGTGGGTGCAAAAACGGTCTTATTCGCGTTCCCTATAAAGAATTTTTTAGATTTATAAGGTCATCAAAAATCAACAAAAAGGTGCTTTTCAGTTAAGCAGCTAATAGAGGCGGTCGTAAAGAACGGCATTTAAAAAGCAGCGTCCTGATATATCCGAGGCAGTACGACACTACGTCCCACGCTAACTGGTGCAAAATCTTGTTACGTATTTCTTCCCGATTTGAAACGAATTTCAGAGTTTCGGCAAAAATGTCAATAGATCGGTTACTGACAGAAGTTATATCTAGGATTTACTGGAATTTTGACCAACAAAATGCTTAAAAAGAATACAAATATCAGTCTTTACCCCAGCGCGAATGCGCAGCATCGCCTTGGAGCCACTCCTGTCGTGTGACACTGAAATGATGAATTTGTTTTATTTTCTGTTTTAGCCTTTAGAGGACAAATACCACTGGCACAACTGCAATTGTTCAATCACTTGTAAAAATGCATACATGCTGATTAATAATAACTGTTGTCATGTGTTGTAATCGTTCTTAGATTCAGGCTATAGACCCCTGGATCATAAACCGCGACTTAAAATCATGAGATAGTTTCCATCTTATCGCCTCACATCCAAATTTGGACACGACTTCAAGTTACGTCGCTTGCTATAGCGTATAAGCGTCAAATAAATAAACGACTGATCGAAATGCTAGAATAAAGTACCGAAATAGGTTTAAGCTAATTAGAGGTATGTACCACAAACGCACCTTATGTGTTAAGGTAAAAGGGTCATTTTGCAATTTAAGGGACGATAATTACTTAAATTTTATCCATATTTTTTCCGGTATCCGATGCTTATGTGGAACTTATAAGGCTTCATAACAGTATTTAAACAAAACTATTTCAAATTGCTACTTTAAAGAACAGGCATCTTGGAATGGTAAATCCTACTTATATTGCTGTTACTCAGCGACACCCCCAGCACTTCTCTCGCGCGGGAGACAATTACATCAGTAAAATATAATCAACCTACTAAAATTGTGTTAGTAGCATTCGCTTTAACCTTATGCTTTGCCGAGAAACGTGGGAAAGTCCAACTGCCTGATAACGTAACGCCTTGTTTTGGCAACAGAAAACACACTGTAAATAATTGAGGATATTGTAAGAGTACTTGCTTGTCGCCGAGTATTTAAATACTAATACTGACTGGCTACGTGATGCCTAGTATTTGGCGACGTACAGTTAGCGCATTTCATGAGCACTCGCAGGATCAGCAGCGCACATAAGGATTTATGTTCGCTACTTGTGACCATGTGTTTAAAGTTATAGAACGAGGTTCCAAAGTCAAGCGTAGTCACCCATTTTCAACCTCTTTACATCACGCCTTACTTCCTCGGTGCTTCCTGTCTTCCGGAAAAACATTGAGCCAGAAGGATACCTTACCCATGTAGGAAATTTAGCTTCTTACAAGTCACCAGCGAACCTAATAGAACAAGACAGAGTCAGTCCGCCGCTGACAGGAAAAATCACAAGTAAGCTTACTTAATCAATGGGGCAATGATCTGACCAATCACATCTGCGATGTCATGAGGTCAGATACTCACGTACGCGTTAGCTGGGTTTTGCCTGCAAAATGACTTCGCAGTTTAAGATAAATTTCAAGTTTTGACCCCTGCATCTAAAGTCCTGTGAAAGGCTATAATTTTACAGTTTTCAGAGGGCATCCATCCGGTTTTTCTTCTTACCTCAGAAACATAAGGTTTAACTGACAGATTAGTATTTTTTAATCACGTCACAGACCTCGAATGAGAACCGGCATGTCGGAAGAAGGTGCCTTCCCCTCAACTCCCAACACGAGGACCATATATGTCGGTTGGTTAACACCGAATATCACTGAAGCCGATTTGGAAGCCTACTTTACCAGGTTTGGCAATGTCATCAATACGGAGATAAAAACTGACAAGTTCACCAAGGAGTCGCGGGGTTTCGGTTTTGTCACCTTCGAGGACAATAAGGCTTTCGAGAACGGCGTTATGGAGGCATGCCATTTCCTAAACGGTTGTCGCATCAATGTGAAGCCTGCGAAGCCGCAAACCCCATCACGCCCCTTGATATTCTGACCGTGGGTGGTATTACGTTTTTAGCTAACGCCCCAAAGACCCGACATTCCTTCTTGCGGTTGACTTACTTTTTGAAAAAGTTTTTCGTTCGGTTCATAACCTCTTCACAGTTCTACTTACCATAATTTTTTCCCGGTTTACTAGCCTATTTTTTCAGAAAATTTCAGGTTCTCTTTTAATCAATCTGTAAATAAGGACAGATGTTTGACTATCAAGATGACTGAAAGAACATTTGATAGAATTCTTAACATCTCAGGTTATCCAGTCTTTCTGCCAAAAATGCATTCGGTCTAAGCGTTTAAGCTTCTTCTGACTAAGCAGTCATAAATTTCCGCCACTAGCAAAACCGCCACCGCAGCCTGAACGCCCTTGCGTAGCTTTACTGAGAAATGACTTCTCGTCTTTGTCGGTTCCCGGTAAAAGGAAAATCAAGCCGATCCGTCAGACGGTAGTCCCCTTCCGTAAAATACCTATCATTCTCATAGTTCTGGTGGAAAATACGTTCTGGGGTAGAAGTATCAATGAGATTTGTCGTGCCTTGAGGATTCTACCCAAAGTTTGCATAAAAATGTCTGGCGAAATCAAAAGGACTATGAACCATTTAAAAAAATTCAAGAAGTCAGATTTTGATTATTCATTCTCACGCCTGTTTAGAAATAAACGGAAGGGTAGATTAGCAAAAGCTTAAATTGCAAATAAATAGCAAATATTGGGAGAGGGTTGAGGATGTTCAGAGAATAGGGGTTAGAGGCTGGTTCTGCCAGGGTGTTTAGGGAGGGAAAACGGGGAGAGGGTAAGGTGTCCGAAAGTCCGGCCATGTCTCCGTTTCGTCGCTGTAAAGCGACGTGGCAAGGGGTGTGAGTGGATAAGCTGGGCTCCTCTTCGGCCAGGGAAAACTTAGGGCTTGAATGAACGCCCTGTGCGAGCGCAAGGTTGGATTGGCCAACCGATTGGTCGCTGCCTCTGTCGTCGCAGTATCTACTGACGCAGACACTCTGAATGTCTCGCCGGTACTTCATAGCCGACCCGGAATGCCTGATTGGCATCTACCTGACGGTGGCTGTTAACCAAGAGAGCCACAAATGCGCTAGGGAGGGACTTTTCTATACCTTAGTCTAGCCAGGCCAGTATGAGAAATAACTCCTTCTTCCCACCCGTCAGCATATCAAATTTTGGAGGCCTTTTTTTCCAAATATTTGTTGATAAACCTTTCGCGGTAGCCGTTTTATCTCAGATTTTTCCACATATTGGCGAGTTCATTCTCAAGCCTATCTAGAGTGCATATTATCCTAGCTCGGTTGGTGATGCAGCGATCCAAGCGTTGTTTCTGACTTAGCGGTACAGAATTGTAAGAATTTATGTACTGCCCTGTCCATCTTTTCTTGCGACCTCCATTTTAACTAATTATTAACGAGCGATGTTCGACTAAGTAGGACTTGCAGAAAGAGAGGTACTCTCCGCTCTATTTTTCCAAAGTAAAGGCTAACACTTGTTGACCCTGGCTCGTTGCAAAAAGAAAGGTGCTCAAGTCAAGCTTTTCGTCATTTATAACAGAAAATAACTGGTTTTTCCCTAGTTTGCACACGAAGACACCGACTGGAAGAGGTCCAAGAGATGATCCTATTGTTATATTGTAGATTTGGCGGAAAAATGGGGCGTCGAATCTGAAATAGAAATTTATCACGTAGCAAAATAACAATTCCTTTAGGTGTTCAGATGACATCACGATTGGGAAATCTAGTCTCATAATCAGTTTACATAAAACCATATGGTTTCATTGAGGGAATATTAACAGAGGACATCATCTAAGAACAGCATCGTTTTCCAATCGGGATTTGTATTTCTTTTAGAATTGATGGATTCAAATGTGCCCCGTGGACAGCGTGTTGTTATCCTCTGCAAACCATTATAAGGCTTTCTGCCAACCACTTTGAAATTGCGTGATGGGATGAATTGCAGGTGTTTAATATCGACCACATTGGAGGGTCTGCTTTGTGATTCTTTGGAAACCCATATGGCATTGAGGATATTGATCCTGCGGATCATAAAATATTGAACTTCTGTTCACTAAGCAAAACCCTGGACTTTCAACTTCCGGTGATATTTTATAAGATGGACTTCTACACTCTCAGGTTGGTTCTTAGTTTGCCTCTCTCTTTAAAACTTAGTCTCATCAGTCAGGATTAATTTAATTTTTGAAACGTGAACGTTTTAGTTTATTAGAACGAGACCAGAAAATTTTGGCAGTGAGCATTTTCTAGTTTTGACGTAATTTTTGAGTTTCTCAGATGTGGGTTTGTTATATGCCCGATTCTTAGTCGATTTTCGGACACATTCCTTGTCCAACTTCGCTTCCCCATAAGCTGGCCTCCGAATGTCCGCAACTCTCTCCCAATATTTACTGTTTACTGGTTATTTAAAGTTTTGCCAATTTAACCGCATTTATATTACTACACAGGTCTGAGGATTAATAATCAAAAAAGGCACCTTTGACGAACCCGAATTCTTAAATATTTAAAAATTAGCCGAGCTGTCTTTTTTCCAACAGTATCGCTCAGGGCGCAAAAATAGTATTCAAATAGGGTTTCCGGACATATGTCGGAATATAAACTTTATACGGCGGATAGCATCACGATATTGTTCTTTGTAATTGCCCTCTTATTCTGCAATGCTTACACAAATTCCGCAATATTTTACTACCTGAATGCAAACTACTACCTCTGCTTTTCTCTTGGATGTGTACAATTTCGTTCCGTTTAAGGTATGGGCTTGCAGGAGGGCTGCATGTTCATTCTGGCGAAACTAACTAATTTCCATAGGCTATTAAGTCCTTGCACTATCACAATTTTTTAAGGTATATGTTAAGCACTTTTTCCGATAAAAACTCAGGAAGTGTTAATAAAATTCTAAAATCCGCCTTCGACTGGAAAAGATTGTATAAGTAGGGTTCTAATAGTTATCAACTTGCAGCATAACCTCATAGTAATTCAGTTACTGCAGGATGCCGGCTTTTGAACGAAATTCTTTCTGGCTGCCGGCAAAAACAACACTCTGTAAAAAATGGCTACTTATATGGCATGATTTTTTATCATTGATTTTTGATGCCATTATAAATTCAAAAATATTTCACAGAAGACATGCATAAAAATATTCCCTTTTTTACTCATTTGGCAGAAAATAGCATCTTCTTCGAAGTTTTTACTCGAAGGAAGCGTAACCGATCAATAACATTGTTCTGCGGAAAACGGCTCTTCCAAAAATACTACCCCAGCATTTAAAAGGTCTCAAACTCCATCAACACCTCAATCTCATGCAGTTTTTTGGGGAATTCTG